GGGAAATTTTCCCGCTGAATCGACGTGTGACGTCACATGACACGTCATCTGAAATTTTTAGTGTGACTTCACGTGACGTCACACGGGTAAAATTTTCCCTCTAAATTTAGCGGAAACATTTTCCGCCAAACTTAGCAAAAACTTTTTCCGCAAAATTTATCGGGAAAATTTTACCCTCGTGACGTCACACGTGACGAAACACGTGACGTCACCTGTGACGTCGTTTTGGGAAACAGCCCTTAACGCAACGCGCGGTTACGTCGACGCCGCTCAACCCAACAACGGGTGCCTAGGAGCTGTGCTTTAAAACAACGTTACATTAAAGAACGATTTTTACGCCGATTGGATGATTCTGATCGATCATGGCAAGCCAAGATAAAGAACGAAGCATATCTAACTTCGGCGTTCCGCTTCGTTCCACGGAAGTCTACGAGGAGGCCCTGACACTGCCTAATCAGATCATAATTATCGTGTTGTCTCGAATAGTTACATGCTGAAACAAAAGTAGGCTCCATCATTCTCTGCTAAGCAAGATAGCTATGAATGACTGACTTTTTCGTCTTCTTTTATCAATTCATCGTTGCGCTAATCTTGATTCAGATCAGCCTAAACTCCAAGTCCACCCCACTATTGTTTTTTCAATTCCACTCTTCTACATGTCGTCTCTTTCACGAATTTCTTTTCTTTAAAATAAAACTTACGCCACGCTTTTGGTTTCTGTGTTATGTTTTACTGTCGAAACACTCCTATCGATGCCACGCACTCGATCGAGCGAAGTGAGTTTTTCAAACTCACTTCAAGCCAAGTGTGTTCCGCAGGAAGAAGCCGTGTGGCACACTACAGAAATGACACTAAGGGCGAAGTGCACTCGCTTGTAGTGACACTAAACTAGCCCGTCTGACAGGGGTATAGTAGGAATTAAAGAGAAGTAAGAGTAATCGATGGGAATAAAGAAGGACTATTAAGCGAGTTAAGAAGAACCAAAGTGAATTAAGAGGAATTAAAGTGAATTAAGAAGGATTAAAGAAAAGTAAGAGTAATCAAAGCTAATTAAGAAGGACTAATTTGTGTTGCGCTCTGCTTTGTGTTGGCAACATATTCACGTTATCATCATCACCATATTGTTCCTCATATCCCATGTTTTTGTTTTTTTTTGCTGTTAAAAATAAAGGCATTCCGGTTTGGAACGTGGACTGAGTTTGTCATTCATTCATTCTTTTTGTTGAGTCACGGAGGACACCACGCTCTGACTCGCCAAGGTCCTCAGCTCGAAAGTCGCAAGCATTAAACCAGACGCCTTCTTCTCAGAGAAGGATCGATACAGTCACTTATATGTTTGAATAATGATTGAATTAGATCACAATGCTTTCTGTTAAACTGTGGGACTCTTTTAATGTGATGGCTTCTCCTGTATCCCCTGGTTTTCTTTTTGTTGTTCTCGTGGAACACATCAAATATATATAATAATAATAATACTAATGTTTATTTTTCACCATAAGATGGTGGCGATCAGGGAAAAAAGCTGTCACGTACAGCTTGACGGGTCCCTGACCGCCTACAGAAAGCAGCAACAGAGCCGGAAAAAACGATATTGAAGAGGAGAAAAGAAAACGAAAATTGTACAATGATTGTCGCTATCACACTTTTTAAAACAAATTTTAGATTTCTTTTCCCCTTTTTTACATTGAGGCAGGACAGACAGCAGAGATAAAATTATGCAAAAACTAGTTACAAAGATCACAAAGAAAGAAAGGCAACTACCTTCAGCTGCTAGAGAAAAAGGATGATTTTACTTCTCTTAGGGATAACTTATCCCAATCTATACTTTTAGTCTTATACGAATTGAGTAAATTGGGGAGAGTGTATTTAAGCATTTGTTTGCCATAGTTTGTTCTTGGTGTAGCCACCTCCCAACATTCAGCACCTCGGGTAGGGTAATTATGAACATTTTTTGATAAATTTCCAAGATCTGTTAAAAAAGTTGAGTCTTTAAGTTGCTCTACTTTAAGGCTAGTGCTAAGCCTGTAATCATATAATGCATGCGCGTTTAATACGCGAAATTGTTGAAATAAGCCAGCTGTGTGAAAATCATACGAGACGGCAGCTATTGCCCTCAGTGCTTTTTTTTGCAATACATGTAACTTTTCTAGGTTTGTTAAAGTTGTTGTTCCCCAAACTAAATGACAATAATTTAAGTGAGAATAAAATAGAGAATTATATATTAATAATTTAACGCTGGTTGGTAAAATATAACGATGTCGATTTAACATGCCCACAGTTTGGGATAGCTTTGAAATAAGAGAGTTTATATGACTTTCCCACGACATATTTTCAGAAAACATGACACCTAAGAGTTTAAAGCAATTCACAATCTCGATTTTCGTTGAATTCAAAACTATCTCCTTGGTAATGGTAACGAGTTTATTTTTAGGACGAAAAAGCACGGCTTTGGTTTTATTTACATTTATTTGTAATGCGTTGTAATGACTCCACGTTTGTAACCTAGACAGGGCCAGATTCGCCATATCGAATAATAGGTCAGGATCATCTGCAGAAAACAGTATGCTCGTGTCATCAGCATAGTTTACAAATTTTGCGCTTACATTAATATTGACTATATCATTCACGTACATGTTAAAGAGGAAGGGGCCCAATATACTACCCTGTGGTACACCAGAAGGAATAGGTTTTATAGTGGAAGAATTCCCATTGATATAAACATATTGTGCTCGATGCTTCAGATAAGATCTTATCAGCTGTAAAGCGTGCCCTCGAATTCCATAATTATCTAATTTAGATAGTAAAATTTTATGATTGAAGCAGTCAAACGCCTTGGTGAAATCTATAAAGACTCCAAGAACCATATTTTTGTTTTCAAAGCTTTGTAAAATAAATTCTTTTAAAACAAGTAAGGCAGATTTTGTCGACTTGTGTTTTATAAATCCATACTGTGATGGAGTTATCAAGTTATACTTATTTGAAAATTTAGTCAAACGTGTATGAATAACCTTTTCGAGTGCCTTGGAAAACACTGGTAATATTGAAATTGGCCTGTAGTTTCCCATTTCATTTACATTTCCTTTTTTATGCAATACTGAAACTTTGGCAATCTGCATTCGCTTAGGAAAAATTCCAGTAGATAAAGAGATATTAAATATATGAGTTATTACAGGTGCTAACAGATGAATAACATGTTTTACCGGTCTTATCTGGATGCCATCGACGTCACAACTAGAACTGTTTTTAAGCTGAAGAAACACGCTTATAATTTCTGGTTCGACGACGGGATCTAGAAATATCGAATCATTGTTTCGTTTATCATTTAAAACCAAAGGAGTTTCCGTTTCAGTAGTACCCAGAATATTTACAAAATGTTCGTTAAAGCATTTGCCAGTGAACGTCCAGTAAGTTCAGTACCATTGCACAGAATTTTTTCAGTTGAACTGAAGGGGCGATTACGATAAAGAAGATAATTTAGTTGCTTCCACATGATGTCAGTGCGTCCTTGTGTGGCCTTGAACAAATCAAAATGATAACGCGTTCTGGCGCGCTTTAGTTCTTTTGTCAGGTTGTTGCGATAGTTTTTAAATACTTTAAGGTCCTTCTGGACCTTGGATTTTATGAATTTACCATATAAAGCGTTTTTTATCTTAATTTTACAGAGTAAATCTCTCGTTATCCAAGGCTTCTTTATGCGCTTGTTTGTTTTAATAGAAGCGAAAGGAAAATATGTCTTATACAGTCCAAGAAATAACTCTATAAAAGTGTTATAAGCTCCGTCAGCACTATCCTCACACAGTACCCGGCTCCAATTTGTATTTGAAACAGCGGTCTGAAAAGCGTTGAGTCGATCTAAAGTTATTATTTGTACTAATGTCCGCTCTGTCCTACAATTTTTTTTCGGGAAACTTTTGAGAGAAATGAATATTGGGAGGTGGTCACTCAGATCGCAAACAATGACGCCAGCTTTTATATAATCGACTGAGCTGTTTGAAATAAACAAATCAATTAATGTTTCAGATTGGAGAGTAACACGTGTAGGTCTATTAATAACATTTGCACAACCATATATATGTCCTGATCAGCGAATCTAAACTTTTTTTAGCTACGGTTTCCGCGCTCATATCAATATTAAAGTCCCCACCACAAATTACATTACATTTTTCTTCATTAACAAAAAACAAAAAAGACTCGAAAAATTTTAAAAACGATTCAATGTTGCCGTTTGGTGGTCGGTACACCACAGCAAAGATATTCTGGTTATTGCGTATACACATCATTTCGTAATCTTGAGTGATGCAACTATAATCACCTAATACTTACCAGAAACACTTTTTGTCAAAATGGCTAAGCCACCACCACGTTTCTCTTTACGATTTATGTAAAAAGAGTGGTATGTAGGGAGTTGTAGTACGTCAGTCTCTTCAGTGTACCAGGTTTCTGTGAGCATGATGACATCGAAAGAAAAACCAAATTGATCGAAAAGTAGCTCAAGATCTACAGCTTGGCTTTTCGCAGACCGAACATTTAAATGGAAACAGGTCATGTGTGAAATATAATCCGCACCAAGATAGGTTATCAAGTCTTGCGGAAGAACGAACGCGTCAATTGCCATAAAAAACAAAAAGAACAGAGGATATTATCATCGACCGCCCTAAGATAGAAATTCGCGTATAAGATCCTGCAAAAATGCCCGTCTTTATCATCGTTAAAGTGACTTTTGAAGGTAACGCCGTCGCAATAGTTTAAAAAGTGACTCTCGTTCCACAACTTACGTATCTACGAGACGTTCAAGATATTTGAAAAGACAATGAAACGCAAACTTTATATCAAAGCCGATTTAAATCAATAAAAAAACATAATTTGACGAAATGCTGATTTATATTAAAAAAAACTATACACAGAGTGAGGAAAAAATATTCAAGTACTTAAAAATACATATTTGTGTTTAAATTGGTATCAAAACGGCGCTGACCGAAATTTAGAGCAATGTTGCTTACCAGCCTTACGGCTTGAGAGTTGTTATATATATAATCAACAGCGTCCTTAAAATCAGCCTCGGCCAAGTTGAGTTTTAGCACAAGACATAAGAAGGTGACTTGCATTGTCCATGCCATCCGGTCAACCTAAAGACAGAAACTGAGTGTCAACAGAATTTTTTTTTAATTGAGAAAATATAAATATTTAATGTTATAAATAGATAAGAATCTCTTCTATGTTATTGTTCAAAACAGTCCTCAAGCCTTTATCTTCCTACACTATATCATCAACATCACGCAAAGCACTGAACATACACAAAAGCATTGAATACTACAATGATTTGAACATTGAATATAGAATTCTCCTGTGAAGAACGGGCGCAAAAGTAATGGCCAATCATCAAAATAATCCAGTAAACATCAAATGCTGCAAAATCAAAACAAAGCACCCCCAAACTATAAATTCGTTGCACCGTTTCATTACCTTACACAAGTATTCCGTCTGGGAACTCAGCAAATCCCCGCGATGCACGAAGAGAACCCGGCAAATCATAAAGGCGAAAAACAAAAATGGCATAGACTTGCGTTCTCATGTCATTATCTGTTTCACGATGCAGACGAGGGGTAAATGTTTTCCCACACGCCTGATTGCGGCGAATTTTTGGGTAAATTAAATTATTGCGTACTTGGGTTTTGATCGTGAAGAATGTGCCCGGATTAAACCCAGTGTGTACTTGAACGAAGACAACGAGTTTATTCTAGCAAAATAAAAATGCCCGGCAAAACCGATCTTGGCAGTACATCCAGGCATATTGCCGCGCGCGCAGCTGGCCAAGTAGGCAGCACGCGCCTGGCCTAACGGTTATCGCGCTTGCCTTCCACGCAGAAGGCCAAGGTTCGATTCCTGGCCGCGGCTACACATTTTTGTTGACACTGTAATGTGATGTTCTGGTGAATTCGAGAACCGTCTTGCTGATTCGAGGTTAGAATGTTCTACGCGCCGAACCTTCTATGCCGAACGATCCAGAAACCCACGAGGGTACCTAAGGGATTCCGCAAGGCGAGCGGGGAGTCAGTCTCGCCCCAGCGTTCGACTCTGCTGTTACGCCGACTTCGACACCCGCGGCGCTCTGTTATTAGAGAGTTTTAGCATAGAGTAATATACACAAGGTAAAGAGCGGACACTGCCATAGGCCCCAGCGGCCCAGATAGACCAGTGACAGGTAGCGCTCCTAGCGGGCGGTATGAAGTGTAATCTGATTCCGTTTCCGGTCAAGTTAGTTTCGGTTTCGGTTTGGGCGTTTCTGCCCCGGTTCTCCGGTACCCTTCTGTCTCTCTTTCCTCCCCGCCTCGCTCGGCTCTCGGGAGCTCCTTGACTCCCGAAGCCGCTGTTTTTTTTTGTTTTTTTTTTTTAATACTGACGCACTTTTGCTTTATTTTTTACGATAGAGTCCGTGCAAAATGTATCAAACAATATTTCATTTTACTTCACAAAGCATAAGCATATATATTTCTTGTTCTTTTTCTATTGTAAAGCATTGAAGTTACACAATCGCCGCATTGACTCCTGGCTGGTGGAGCATTTTGGAGTCAACAACAGTGAGTGGTTCGAACACATTTTATTGGACCACATTCATGTATACATGATTTACTTCAGAAGCTCTGTATGTTTTATACGAAAGAGATCGATACTCACAAAAATAAATGAATATGAAGGACTTCGGCATATCGTACACTTCGTAATAGATTCTTAACGGAACCAAGTTAACAAAACCTTTCCACGGAGAACATGCTGTATGATACATTCACTTTCACGCCGACTCGGGTACGGGAAGTAAGTGCAAAAATAAATAAGACATCGCTATCATTACCAGTCACGCGCCGGATAGTACAAATTCCCGATTTCCGGCAAATATAAAAAAACACCAATTCGCATAGCCTCAAGCCATTACCAAACAAAGAGAACTCTATTCGAAATCTGACAAGATTCAACGTCCCTAAACATTCCCCGAAATTGTTCAGAAAAGAAATATGGCTTCAGAAAAAAGCGGCTAAAAGACTATGGACAGTGGATACAAAAGTGGATACATTTTCTTTCAAATATTTTTAGCCTCTATACACTATTTTCTATCACAATTTTGTAGAAAGTGGACAAATATTTTTGTTCGGGAGCCGTGATACGCATTCGCTGGAAAAAGGGGAAACAAATATTTGGAGAGCAAGCTACACCGCCCACTTAAGCACTTTTTGTTTTTGGTTTGGCAACCGCCTCTGTTAATACACTATTAACAGTTAAACCTGTCTCGTTCTTATTAACCACTGAAGTGTGCAACCGAACTTTGTCCAAATTCCGGTTAAGAAATCAAACATGTCAACACAAGCGTATTCTGCAAAACAACTTTAAAAACCCTTTGTGGTACTCCTCTGGGTAAAGGCTAAAACCACCCAGACCTCAAAGTGTGCTATACAAGGCGGCACAGACTCCTCGAACATGTGTCACACTCTCTATTATAGGAAGAAAGTCATTTTCTAGTGGCTGAATAAAATGAAAGGCAGCCTGTGATGGTACTACTAAGTTCCCGAAGAATTTTCCAGCCACGTGGTATGCTTTAGGAACAAGGCAGTACTGGTGAGGCCTGGTCAAGTTATTAGACTCATCCGATAGCAGCTGAGAACAGCCACAGCTGTAAGTTGTCTGCTCAAGCAAAAGCTTGATCAAATAGCCCCAAACGTAATAAAAAAAGTGGACGAGTCATCAATTATGTTAGACCTGATGTCTGATGCCAGCTCAGAAATATCCTCAAGTGGCGGGAAGTTATCAATTGGAAGACATTCCACAATGTCTGAAATTAAACTTTCATGGTGCAAAGATATTTGCAACTCCTTTAGGAGGTCAGCCTTGTCATCCTCTACGTTTTCATTGTCCGACAGTTTGAACAGTTTCTTTATCCAGAGGTGTTTTAGTCCTGAGGTGAACTGATCCACATTTGGGTTTGTGTTGCAGCCCAGCATTTGTCGTATATAGCTCCAAAAACGTTCTCAAGTGTGTCTTGCTGCAGGCGTCGTGTAAGTAAGAACTTCAAGTCATGGCTGCTTGAAAGCTCATCACAGAGCATGAGGAAACTTTTTATAGTAACTTGACACCCAATGATGGCTTATGGCTGCCTCCTACTTTGGAACTGCCATGCTGAAATCCATCCGAGTTACTGGTGGAAAAAATCAAGTATTTCAGATTCTCCCTTCAGATTGGCATGACGCAACTTCTGCCCTGTCTTCTTGAATTTTTTAGCTATTTAGACAGTCAAAAGGTATGCACATCCTATCACAGAAAAAGGCTGTAGCCATGGCTGCCTCAGGAAGTTCCTTGGCATAAACAAGGGATATGATTGCAAGAAAGAGCAGACCTGTGGGGGACAATTTTCTTCCATGTTACAGAAAGGTTCTTGAAAAAATGTTTCTCTCAGTAAGTTTCGGAGTCAGTTGCAAGCTCATCTCATGGATAGAACAATAAAGTTCAACAAAGAAGACCACTCAATGACCTCATTTCGAATGCAAAGTTTGTGGGCTTGGAGATTGCTCTTGGTTGTTTTGGGAAGGTGTGGAACATCAAAGACAGAGTAAACGTGTTCGTTGTGAACTTCAAGAAATGGCTTATTACCACACACACCAAGCTGATGTTTGAAGCCCCCTAACCACAGACCACAGCCTTTACTGTAAAGCAAACAGACTTAAAGGGGCGATGCACTGATATTTTTATTTTGCGCAAATACCGCTTAGAACGAACCCCTGACGTTAATGATCTGTGAAATACCCGTACGTTTTCACCACACGCAATCGAAGTCGCAGAAAAAAATAAAGAAAAACGAGCAGAGTTCACCCCTCAACTCGAAGCCATAACAAGCGGCCCCGTGATCTGGAGCCGATTATATGCCGCCAATGTTGATCATAGCCATGCGCTGGGGTTGGCAAGGCACAGGACACGCGCTGAGTTCAAGACATTGTTATGGTTCGGCTGTTGTCGTCATTGCAGCGATTGGACACAGGACACTACCCGAATGTTTCTCGAGCTATCGATTATCACGAGTCCAAATCGAGTGTCCACGCCATGCTCGGGTCCAATCTATGAGCCGTATTCAAATATCGTCACTGGGCGGTACTGCTACCGCCCAGCTACGTCATCAGGTTTTTCGAAGGAGAGATTGAATGAAAACACTCGGTTTTGTCCTCGAACTTGCAGCGCAACAAAGGAGTTTCTTGGTCAGTGGCGTTGCGTGCGAATATCCTTGAGTCCCACTAGTGCCAGTAAGCTTGTGTAAAGTGAAGACCATTCCCATTGAATATCGTTGCACCGCCCCTTTAAGCTCCCGAATGAGAGAAATGAGGAGACTGCGTTAAACAGAAGACGTTGTTGGAGTGTGCACAACAGTGTATGCAAGGGGCTAAACGCACCTCCTGGAAATTTCAGACAGCATAACAACCAAGGCTCTATCTGCAATGTTAGAGGTTCGTTCAACACCGTCATCTGTAAACCCATGGACAATGTCGTGTGCTGGGTCGTAAGTTAAATTCTTTTTTTAAAACAATCTCATCGGAAATCAACATGCACACAGGTTCAAGTGCAGCCAGGCAGCCCGGCAGAAAGAACAGCGCGAGAAGCTCGAACCGATCGGCTGCACGAATTCACGCCGAGCATGCCAGCACGCGGGCGGTCATGCGTCACCTTGATTGATGCAAAGTCGACCGAACATGATGCAGCAGAAAGCACAGCTGGACGGCACGCACGGCACAGACGAACGACGCAGGGACGAGCAAAGGCCATGCAGTATGATGCAGAAGCGACGGCGTGCAGGCAGGCAGGCCATGGCAGGCGCCATTCATCACGTGCTTTTTGTGACGTATTTGATTTAAACTATTTAGCCGTGGTAAGTACTTTAAACAATTTTAAAGCATTGCCAATTAAAAAATAAATACTTTTCACAGAAAGAGTTTTAATTAATTTTAACCAAATTGCAGAAAAGCGCCACGTAGCGGAGGGTATGAAACGCACTATCTGGGCCGCGAATCGGCTCCTGTGTCCTCTCTTTACGTTTACTATATTACTCTATGGTTTTAGTAATACGTATAGGAGCAAACGCAGACCCCATACGTTAACGTTGCGTCCTCCACACTGCGCACGCGCCATACGTACGTACTGCGGCGAGCCTTGCGTACGTACGCTCGCTATCGATTTTTGCGAACGTACGTAGCGGTCCCCTGCGTGCCATCTCGTTGCTCTCGTCGCGCACGGGACAGCGCGAGACTAGTCCAGTTTGAAAAATGGCGGCGGTGAGGCAAACCAGCGGAAGTGCTACGCGCATTGTACGGGTTCGCTTTACCATCGAAGATGACATCAACTTCCTCAAAGAAGTCAACGCGACGAACCCTTTCGAGCACCCACAAAGATGGGTGTCGATAGCCAAGAACGTTGGCGACGTCGTCGAACCCAAAAAGGTGTTTACCGTGCGGTCGGTACAAAAAAAAAAAAAAAAAGAAAAAAAAATAGACAAAACACTTACACAACAGGCACACGGAAACACGCACTTCCGTAACAAAGCGAGGAGAATCGGGGTTTTGGATTGGCTTGACCGAATGCCCGCCTTGGATTGTTTGAAGAAGTTTACAGGAGCACATCTAGATGGCGCTACAAGTCTTTACGTATGCGTTCTTCTTCCGCTGTACTAAAAGTGCGTATTCGACGCGCTCCGTAACGTTGCGTCGACGCAACGTTAACGCTAACGTAGGGGGTTTGCGTTTGCCCCTATACGTATTACTAAAACTCTCTAATATCTTTTGTACCCCTTTCATTTTTGGCACAAGTTCGCCACATTAAACGTTTATTTCTTCCTCTTTATTTATTGTTCTTTTGGTCACCACTCGTGACAATATGGCGCATGCCGCGAGCCGCCGTCCGTGCAAACTAAAAAAAAAAAAGACAATAACAACGTTCATTTGGCTAGTAGTAGAATAGGTTTATGTAAAATCACTGGATTCTGGGAAAGTAGCGGAAGGCTTCTCGTATGGTCACCATTTGGGGATCAAGGATTGAGCAACTTCTGCTTCACCTTTCATTCTCGGTAAACGGATCTAAATTCACTGGGGACGGTTACTCAGAGAGCACTCGCCATTGGGCCAATACTGGGAACAAAAATATGCACTGTGTCCTCTCTGTAACCAATATTGTTAATGTCGTAGAGAACAGGGTTATGATTGGCCCAACTTATCCTATCTATTACCACTATTACCAATATTGAAAAGTCATGGAAATCCGATTGAATAAATTGGAAACCACCTCCAAAGTGGTGCCAATGAGCTTCCTGGCTTTTGATTTGCCTTTCTTTTCTGCTTTCTTTTTGTTATTTATTGCGTTAGATGACAAGCGAAGAAGTTGTGCTCCGTTTTCTAGTGGTTTCGCCTTCCCCTTCCCCTCGGCCAATGTACCTACACCTATCTTTGTGACGTGTACGACCCTTGCCTGTTCCTTGCCGTATTTCGCGTCTATCACTTGAAGAAGGGCGTCCGCCCGAAACGTCGTCTACACCTTCCTGTCTACGTATTTTTTTTTTCAAGTAGCACAACCATATATTTGCGATTTCGTGTGCTTTTCCAACTTTTTCCTGTTTAGCTTTCCTCCTCAACTCGTAAATCGCGCGTTCTACCAAACAGTTTAAGAAGATAGAAAGGGGGGAGTCCCCTCTTGCTCGGACTCTCGTTTGTGTCCCCGGACACAGCCATTCTCCCCCTAAAAGATTAGCCCTTCGCTAAAAATTTAGACCTCGATGGCCTGTTGCGGCTTATATAATTTTTCCTCGGTTGATGTTGGGCAAGGGTTTTTCCCTACACCCCAGGTGCAGAAAGCAACATCAACAGAACAATTGCAACAGTAAACAGTTTGAGAAAAAAAATAAAAACGAAAGTCGAGAGACAGGAAAGGCTCAGACGATGTGGTGGTGGGTGGTGCAACCTTTGTTTTGATCCATTCACGAAGTGGCCAATGCTTGCTTGGCACGTTGATCCATCGACACCCACAATGCACAGACTTTTGGGAGTTTGACGCCATGAAATGAGGACAAAATACGCGAAATATTACAGTGAGATGTGTAGCGTCAACATACCTGAAAAGGGTTCACGACAGGTTAGGTAATGGCAACAACTTGGCTGCAAATCCTGCTGTTGTGAAGGCGACGATCCTTTTTCTAGTCGGTTAAAGTAGATAAAGTCAGGGCCAGCTGATAGATAGTGGGGGTAGCCACCGGGCGTCGATGAGGCTGGCTTGATGATAAGTGTTCTAAACGTTCTTTCGTGTGACGAAACCGCGACTGCACCGTCACCACAGATGAAGCAAAGCGGACGCCCTCACAGGCACAAATGATCTTAGGACGGCGGAAGCAGCGACAAGGTTTTTGAAAAGGGTTTACGGCAGGTTAGGTAATAGCGACAACTTGGCTGCAAATCCCGCTGTTGGGAAAGCGACGATCCTTTTTGTAGCCGGGTAAAGTCGATGACGTCAGGGACAGCTGATTTATGGTGGGTGTAGCCACCGGCGTTGATGAGGCTGGCTTGATGAAAAGCGTTCTTTCACGTGACGAGACCGCGACTGCATCGTCACCACAGATGGTAACCAAAGTGGACGCACACGCAATGCCGGGTGAACTTAGGACGGCAACGGAAGCAGCGACAAGGTTTCTGAAAAGGGTTCACGCCAGGTTAGGTAATGGCGACAACTTGGCTGCAAATCTACTTATTACTCCTAGTCTTAAACTGCACTAAGATTGTGATATATTGTAGAATGTTACATACATGAAATATGGTATTTTGTGATCTTAATCTTCCTCGCAAAAATGATCTATGATCTGTATTTTGTGCCTTTGTAGTGAAGCCTGCACTTTGAAGAAATAACCATATGCACACATTGAAATGCTGTTTAAGGTTGTTTAATTCGTATGCCTATTTCCTCGGCTAGAGATGAACGAATTATATTTTTCGCAAACCTGCTCTACTGTGTGCGCTTAATTCCAGCTTAATTGTCGAGGGCGAGGTTCAGTCGGCGGGGTCGATGTCCCAGCTCCTCCCTTGTTTTCGCCACAAGCTTTCGTCTAGCAAACTCCGATATGCACGCGTGAACGAACCCTTGAGCGAACACTTGTTTTAGCTGCCTTGAAGTTCGTTGAAGTTCGTTGTACAGAATTTTGGTACAAGTACACTCGCCTCCAGGGCCTACGCCTCATTCACCTCATGTATGCGCCGTGGCCGGTGCTTGCGCAAATCGACAGACAGGTGTCGCCCATGAGTCAGAGGAACGAGATTAATGAACTGAAAACACTTCCAAACATAACTATACGTGACGTTTTAGGAAAGTCAATTCCAGGTGAAAAAAAAAGCAATAAAAAGAAAACAAGCCTGCAGACGACAGAAAATACGTAGGAAAAAGCCCCCTCGGCGACGGCAATCGTTGCGGCGTTCCTGCTGTCCCCCCCCCCTCCCCCCCCCCCTTTAAAAAAAAAAAATAGAGATGACAAAAAAGCGGTAAAAGAGCCCGGGATCTTCTGCACAAACACAAAGAGCTTTCACGCAACATATATTTGATTGAAGTCACGGCCGAATTCATTAGCACGTCAAGCATACGAATGAGCACGTTCTCCACGGCCGCGAAATCTCCGAGCCTGGCGCAAGTGAAGCCACCGGAAGTTCGATGCTTGTCCCGGAAGTTGGGCGTGCGCTGGGCTTCCTAGTGCATTCAGTCGATATTTCGGTCTACGCCTTTTGTGTCTTTCATTGGGTTTTAATAGTCCCGTTCTGGATTAAACCCCAAGAATAAGGCATTTGAACGTGGGACATACGCGCACTTGATACTAGAATCTCAAAATTTTCACACCGAATGGCTTCCCAGGAGACTTCACGGGTGCGCATGCAGTCCGCAACAAGCAGGCTCTCTTGGGATGTTCAAAATGAAAGTTTGGGCTTGTTGGTAAGGCATGATTATTTAAAATGTACCGCGAAAAAGACGGGACGGAAGAAAGGAGACAAGCAGTTGTAAGTTCAGCGGTTGTTTGTCTCCTCTCTTCCGTCCCGTCTTTTTTGCTGTACGTTTTAAATCTCTTGGGATCACAAGAAAAATCCAGCGCCCTGAACGCTGTTCGAACCAGCTCCTGGAAGAGTTGAAAAGCCTGTCAAGCGCTTACTTCCGGGACAAGCCGCTTACTTCCGGTGGCTTTATACCTGCCTGCTCAATGCGCATGAAAGATGCTAGCGGCTAGACCCGTACGAAAATGTAAGATATGGCCCTGATATATTTTATATTATCATATATTTTATATATGATAATACAAAAAGTCAAATATGGCCATATTCTGCCATATATGCAAGCAAATACGGTCATATTCCGCGATATAAGTGGGCAAATACTGCCAGATGTGGCCATATAAGTGCGTAAATACGGTCATTTCTAACGGTATACGCGTGCAAATATAGCCCCTGATAATGATATATGGGCCCGTTTCGGTCGTGCAAGCAATAAGACATATGTACTCGCCAAGACACTAGTTGATCTATATTGCATGAGTCTCATGTAATTGGTTAACTATTGTTAACATCCTTAAAGTGAAGTTATTCCAGGTATTTGGACCAATTAATCAATCGCGCCTTTTGAAGATTAAAAGACAAATTAAATTTGGTCTTATGTTTGACGTGTGACTATATGACGAAGTGCATAAGATCGGAAAGCGAGTTAATCAAATAATGAATTTTAGATCGCAGCTCTTAAGCGCCCGTTTGCGAGTTAAGCGGTGTCGGCGTCGCCGTCGGTGTAACCGGCCGGCTATATTTAGCGATAAATTGAATTGGTACGTATGTCACGTGACATCAATTTTCCCGCTAAATCTAGCAGTGAAACTAATTTTGTTCATGCTTCCCTGCTAAATTGAGCGGGGAAACACGAACCGTTAGCTTACTGAAGATGCAAGACGCTACTTCATCGTCCCGAATCCTTTTCCCTTCGAACGGCTGCGAAGCCGTTGCGCCCGGAGTACCCTACGCAGCATCTTTCGAAAACCGTTCGCGCAGCATCGCAACCTTCCGTTAACGAGCGCTGCGATTCATCGTGTGTTGAAAGTTGAAAGATGTGCTGTCCGTGGTGTCTTTTATGTGTAACTCTTTCGTAAAAAAATTTTAAATTTAAAAACGCAAACCTAACAGTGTACACATAGTTTTAAATTTATTTGTAAAAATATATATACATATTTATTTATCTATTTATTTGTGGACATCGTGCACGAAAAAATAGCTGCGCCTATTTTTTCATTTAGAATTATAATATGGGTTATACAGCGTAAAACATAGTATCTTCAAAGTCGCATCGTTTTGGGTCACTTTCGATCTGGACAGCTTCTTTGGAAGTTCAAAAACTGGACTTCATAGAGCTCTATGTTCACTCGGTATTGACAGCAGAGGTCGGCATTTTAGGTCGCCCTCACTCACCCTCACCCTCACAGCCACACTCACCTAAACCCCTCACTCACCCTCACCCTCACAGCTACACTCACCTTCAGCCCCTCACTCACCCTCACCCTCACAGTCACACTCACCTTCAGCCCTTCACTCACCCTCACTGAACCTCATGGCCCTCACGCACTCACCGCCCTCACGGCCCTCACGCCCCTCACCGCCCTCAGCCCCTCACTCACTCATGGCCTCACGCCACTCACCGCCCTCACGCCACTCACCGCCCTCACGCCACTCACCGCCGTCAAGGCCCTCACCGCCCTCACGGCCCTCACCGCCCTCACGGCCCTCACCGCCCTCACGCACTCATAGCCCTCACGCCACTCACCGCCCTCACCGCCCTCACGGCCCTCACGGCCCTCACCGCCCTCACGGCCCTCACCGCCCTCACGGCCCTCACGCACTCATAGCCCTCACGGCCCTCACCGCCCTCACGCCGCTCACCGCCCTCACGCCAATCACCGCCCTTACACCACTCACCGCCCTCACGCCCCTCACCGCTCTTGCGGCCCTTACACCCCTCACGCCCCTCACGCACTGATGGCCCTCACGCCACTCAGGCCAGCTTCAGATGGGGCAATTTCGCCCAGAAACTTTACGTCGCAACACCAGCAACACGGGCCGCCCGCGATCACACGCAGCAACCAATTGCTGCAATTTGCCATTTTCATCATAAAATTTTATTTTTCTTGCACTATTTAGACACAATTACGCGTTATAAACGTGTTTTTGTGCATTTAAATCTCGTTAAGAATACTAATGCACCTTTCTGAAACAGTTTATTTCCAAAAAACGATCGATTTCACACCAGAACCAAGTCTTTCGGTGTCATCATCACCGGCACGAGGTATCACGTGAAAATTTTGCGCCCCTGATTGGATGCAGCCGCTTTAAACGTACTCGAATTGCTCCGAGTTGCTTGCTTATTTCGAGCCGGACCCGATCTCAGCGATTCGTGTCGATCTAGGGAAAGCTAGAGAACAACCCGCCATTAACACCAAAATTGCTGAGAAAGATGCTCGATCTGAAGGGGGCTTCACGTACTCACCGCCCTCACGCACTCATGGCCGTCACACCCCACCTCATGCACTCACCGCCCTCACGGCCCTCACGCCTCTCATGCCACTCACTGCCCTCACGCACTCATGGCCCTCACACCCCTGACGCACTCACCGCCCTCACACCACTCACGCACTCATGGCCCTCGCGCCATTCACCGCCCTCACGCACTCATGGCCCTCACCGCCCTCATGGCCCTCACGGCCCTCACGGCCCTCACCGCCCTCACCGCCCTCATTGCCCTCACAGCCCTCACGGCCCTCACGGCCTTCACCGCCCTCACAGCCCTCACTCACCCTCACACTCATGAATTTTCCTGGTTCAGAAACTCACTCACCCTCACCTCACCTGTGAAGATGAGGGTGGGTGAGGGTGAGTGAGGGCCCTCATGAGTGAGGTTTGCCGAGGTATGATTGACAACAGGGTAAACGCTATGCATGTTTTAGGCCAATCGTGTCTCCGGTTAGGGTCACGTGACTACAATCTAGAAGCTGGTGATAAAGCAGAACACGGCACCTACCTGGAGCCCAAGGCCACATATAGTATTCACTGCACTATCAACCTTGGGTACAAGTGACAAATCCGCTCGTTGTGGTCGTTGATACCCCATAAGCCTTTCGTTTGTGCACTCCCGTTTTGGCCTTTCCTTCTCTCCTTTTTTCTCTCTCCCCAACCTGAAAGCGTGATAGAAGGTGAGTGGTCACGTGGTTTGACAGATGACGCATTATCCGTTGGCTACCTCGGAATGCGTTCTGCCGAATATTGTTTGGCGTGTGGCCCTGGCGTGGCTGCTGCGGATTTCTGCTTCTGCAAGCGATTTCTTCAAAGAAGCCCAAAAATGTTTTTTGTGATGCGTTTAGTGTTTGGTTCTACAAAT